AAAATGAAATGAGAAACGAAAATGTTTCCACCGCACGTTCAAATAGATTCAACCAGGTTCGAATCCAGGTTCAACCCAGGTTGAACCCCCCAACCCGTGGCCTGACGTGATAGGGTTGCGCAAGCGCCCGCCAGGCATTCTCAGCATAGGCTAATCGTCTCGCTTCCAGGGTATCATGCAGTGACAGCTCCACCGGCTTCTCGTACGCTTCTTGCCAGGACGTTAGCAAAACGTCTCGCACCTGACGCCTGCAAGACTGTGCACTGAAACTCTCCTCGCGCTGGGCCAGCAAAGGACCTGCTGGCAGTCTTGGGAACGGCACAATCTCGTCTGTGCCAAACTGCCATTGCTCTGTCAGGTGACGTTCGGCGGCGGGCCGATTCAGCTTTGCCGCAACCAAGGCAGCCACTCGTCCAAGGCTTCGCTTCCGGGCAGACCTCTGAGCTTCATCGTGCTTCGTCTCCCAGAGCTGGGCGCGGGAATCGCAGACGGCAGAAGAAAAGCGAAACCGAGGAGACTCGATTGATCGACGAAGTCCCACCATGCACGGAAAGGGTGCGCCCCATCTCCAAGTGGGAAATACTTCGAGTTCAACCACTGACACGTAGCCTAGATCTCAGCCTCTAACATGTGCACGAGCCTGCTCTTTTGCCTGCGGAAGCCGCTGGTTGTTGCATGTACTTACGCCATGTCACTCGAGAATACACGAGCCAAGCGACTGACACTGCGAAAACAAGAACATGGCAACTGGTCAGAAGCGGTCTCAAGAGAAGCGGCTTCCAACCTCGATGAAGTTGTATATAGCACGGAGCTGCTCGAGGCTGGCCTTGTCGTGACCGCTAGGACCCCTAGGAGTATCTCGCGCTCTGCGGTCGGCGCTTTGAGCCGCTTCGGCCCCGCTTCGGCCCCCGCCGGGTCCAGCTCCGGGTTCACAGCGGCTGCCGCAACCACGGCCTCTGTGTTAAACAGTTAAACCCTTGCATTGCGCTTTTCCGCTCCGCTGATGCCCCGTTTCCCCAGACGCCCCAGCCTGCCATCTAGCCGGCAAGTCCTCCGCGCTCCCAGCCGTCTCTGTTGCTGGAAGGCCCTGGATGGTCAGGAGGGTGTTGCTGCGCTGACTCTGGGGTCGCATACACTGGCACACTGTGACGTTGACCTAGAAAAGCTTTGCTGAGAAAGTCGTCAGCGTGCAACGTTCTAAGCACGGAAGACTAACAACTGCTTTGAGTTGCTGGGGTTGCTCGCAGGTTTTTCTAGGCTACAGAACTGTTCGCAGGAGGAGTGTTCAAAGGGTCAACTCGAGTGGCTTCGTCCTCCGCATACCGGTTTTCTTGGACTGACTGGTTTAATGCTTTTCAGCTAAAGCCCCCGAAACGGCACCGCCCTGCACCCGAAAGGTCTTTTCATGTCTGAACTTCGCGGAACAAAACGTCAGAGGGATTCCGTGTACAAACATAATACCCTTGTTCTGGAAAGTAGGGGAGCTAGAAGCAAGGATGCTGAGGAATAGACGGTCGAGATCACAAGTGTACAGCTTAAAACTTTTCGAGTCCCAATCATCCCTGACTTTGTTCAGTATTTCAGCCCTTTGGAAGTGTCGATAAGTTTGCGACAGCCTTTACCCGATCTAGAAATATCAAAGAGCTGCTACTATTTATCCGGCCACGAGAACGGGTCCTTGATTTTCGGGACAAGGTATGGGTTTGCTGAGCTCTGCATCCAATCCTTTGTCCAATCTTTCCTGAATCAGTGCTGCAACAATCCTTTCGCAGGACTTTACCAGCAAGATCGGCCGGTAGTTTTCAAGAGAAGTGAAGTCACCCTTTCTACAAATCGAAACAACGAAATCTTTCAGAATCTATTCTCGGACTTCTCCTCCATCAATCCACTTGTTCGCGACATTCAAAGAAGCGACCCAGGTCATCGCCCAGAACGACGACAACGTCTCGTCCATCTTCGGCAAACCCAGGAACAAGAACTACCGAAAGACGACCGTCTAAGACGGTGACGCAATGTTTGTTGTCAACACTGAAAAGTAACAAAAATCCATAGCGAAGAGCTTCAAGAAGATCTACGCAATCGGGGAACTGTCAAGAGAAGAAAAGACGGCTCTCCTTTGCCGTTGGCAAAATCGCATGCATCGCTTGACGCGAGTTTCGGATCAATTTGGGGCGGATAAAGTTGGCGCAAAGACTTTTGGGACCACTCCCTTTACATCCTTGTGCTGCACAGTGTGACTGCACTGTGGTGGTCTTTCCGTTTGTTTGGCTTGTGTTGCAGCATCTTTGCTAACTGTCTCAGCTACATCCAAGCGCGTGCAAACGCCACGAAATGTCTTATCTATTTGTCCGGGAGGTTGTATTGGCAATTGTTCCTCAGCAGATTCGAGAAGACTTGTGTTCAAATGGTCGAAGGTGAAATCTGCACCTTTTTGTATTACTCAGTTCTGCTGGCGACTGCAGCATTGAATTGATTCAGCTGTCATTAGTCAGGTCTACGCAACATCATCTTCGGCCTTCTCAAGCTTCACAACGAACAGAGGCACTGATAGTGATGCTTGAAGTTCTCCCCGCAACATGGTCTGTAACATTGTGTGTTTGCGAACAAAGGACCGGAAATGCAGTTTGTAGCATCAATACTGGCATGCAGGACCCGCTCGGCAGCAACTGTTGTCAGTCGGCCGAGCACCTGGCATCGCCCAAGGAGGCTCCAAAAACGTGGCAAGATCATGGCGAAAAGCCTGCTAACTCGTGCAACAATCGAACCTCAGCCACCTGGTCACTGGTGAATTGCGGGTCCGGCATACCTGGACGGTAGCACAGGTCATGCCCTAAGCAAGGGCAGGTTTCATCCAAGGTGCCTCCGCAGTGCGCGGAAGCCACTCGGGGCACCAAGGACTCGTGTGCGCTGTACGCGCTGTACGCGCAACTCGGCTATGTTGGATTTGGTTGAATGTGTTCAAAAAGAACAAGACATTTTCGAGCTCTGATCGACGGGTAGGTCTGAGGCTATGAAGCTCAACATGCATGAGTTGAAGCTGGAACCATGGCAAAAGGCAGGCTCGGTACAATCAAGATACACATGACAAATACTGGACTTGCTGTTGCTCGAGTCTATGCCAACGGAAGGCCAGCTCTCTTACTTTCTCCCGCAAACTGCACGTGATCACTTGAGTGAAGCCAGCTGCGGCCTCAAGTTCTACGCAGAACAAAGCTAAGGACAGGCGTTCCCCAATCGAACAAGAAATCATAGCATCGAGTCATCAGGCCGGGGCAAGGCCGCAATGGCGGCAATGCGAGTTCCTTCGTCTTTGGCGAAGTCCTTCTCATGGCCAGCACTGAAGATCTACACAGGAACATACTTTGCTGCACTAGCCAAGCTCTCCTCTGCAGCCTGCTTTCGACAGTCTCCGTCAGATCGGACTCTGTTGGCCAAGAAGCTTCCAGAATGCTCTGCCTCACAAGGCACAACTTTGTCAAACGGTAAGAAGGTCATGACCCATACCTCGCGCCTCGCGCACTCGCTGCTCAAGTTGACAGCTCAGGTCTTTGGCATGAGCGGAGAACTCTGCAACCTGCAGAACACAAATATCTGGTTCATTGGTTCATTGCTTCTGTCTGAGCATCATGGCCAGTCACGCCCGTGGAGGTCTCTACAAAGTTCTGGACTGGCAAAGCGCTACGAATGGCCGGCAACATTTTCTGATGCAAAGGGACCATGCCAGTGGATTCGGCTAGTCAGACGCCTGCGGCAGACTTCAGGCTGGACCTCCATGAGACTGTGCCTTCCGTAACCTTTTTGAAACATCTACCCCCATGTGAGGGACGTTTTAGAGTAAGGGTTTAAAGGAGCTAGAAATAAATCTCTTCGTCTCCAGGCTTGCCAGTGAAAACCGGTGTAGTCGGTACTTCTCGACACCGACGATTGAAACAGGGCTCAGCGAAGGTCACGGCCAGCAGCGAGGACACCAATGCAACAATCACCTCTGCACGAGAACAGGCAAGTCAGAGAAGAGACATGAACTGCTTGAACATGTCGTGGTGGAGGCTGAATACCAACTTCAGTGGTCTGCAGTCGCCTCGAAGACGGTCAACCAGGTTCTTCTGAGCTTGACGTGCGATATCGGCGAGGGCCTGGTAAGCGACAGAGATAAATTCGTTCAGCGGAATTCCCCGATCCTCGCCTGAAACGGGCGCTCGTTGATGGGGGTCAGGTGAAGGCCTTCGCTGCCAAAGAGAACGAAAGCTGGCGAGCATACACAAGTGACAAGACGAGCAACGCCAACATAAGCGGAACTCACCTGTTGTGCGCCGAACAAGTCCGGACAATTTGGCCCGCCGCAATCAGATCCTAGCTGCGCCTTTGAAGTGGGTTGGCCCTCAAACAAACGACTGCTTTTGAAGACTCGATCTAAATCTAAGCAGGTCTTAGGAAGCCTGGGCATGCCACAGTGACATGTCTACATATACCTACGCTAAACGTTCTCCTGTTCGTGCTCATAAGGACTGCAATCTTGGGCTGCAGATCGGTCACCACATTGCCACAGTCAAGGATAGCTTTAAGAGCTGTCCCTACAAACCTGTCACTGCTGAGGCATCTACCATCGTAAACATCCCAGGGTCCTGGGACCTGCGAAGGGCTGCGGGTCAGAAAGCTTTCTCAGAAGCGATGCCTGGGCTGCCGGCTGCTCCATCCCGAAGCCTCCGTATGAACGGGTCTGTGGATCTCTTGCTTACGATTCATTATCTCGCTTTGCACACGCCATGGCCCTGGCCCAAGTGAACCGAGCGGATACAACTCCGGTTTGACGTCCGTGGCACCGGTCAGCAGCTTCCACCTTCTCAGTCCCAGTGCAGGATCGTACTAGCAACGGATGGACTCGATACCTGCCTGTGAGTAGTGGTCGATGCTTGCATGTGCTTGCCTGGGGAGATGTTCAGCTCTGCAAATGCAATGACATGTTCCCAGATTTTGCGGCGAACCTTCGGCAGGTCCAGTTCCCAAAGCCGTATGAGGAATACAGGCCTCAGCCAGCCATGCCGTCTTGGGTCGTGTCGCTGTTATGGGTTGTCGAGGCTGCGACAGGGACTGGTGGTGGGGATCTGCGTTGCAGAGCACAAGCCAGCCATGCCAAACAGAATCGAGAGAATACCCGCCTTGGAAGCGTTGTCACCGAGTCGACCTGAACCAGGCAATGTGTCTCTTCCGACTATGACTAAGCTGCATGAGTTCTCAGACTAGGCCGCACCTCCATACAGTTCGAGGAGGCTGGAGAAAGTGGTGTTCGCGTCATTGTCGAAGCAACCGAGAAGCTCGTGTCCAACTGGAACAAATTTCTTCACACTACATGAATACGGGCATACAGGTATGTCCTCAAACATGGCAGATTGACCATAGCAGCTGCAGAACCACCAGAATTTTCGTTCTTCCTACGGTGACACGTCACGAGCACATCGAAAATGCGTGCACGACCAGCCAACGTGACTTTGTCACTCTCACTCAGGCCCTTACATGGAGTTCGGCATCATGATGGGTTTGACACTGGTGTTGTGGGTGGCCGGGCACATTGGCACCGGTCCCGAAACTGGAATTGCGGACGGCTGGGCTTGGCGGACCGCATGCACTGCTGTCCTTTGGGCGTAGTACTGTGCGTACCATGGGTGGGCAACCTGCTGAACAAACTGCCGATTGTGCAGCGTCCGGCAGGTTGCTGGAGCTGTGTACATAGCTGCAGGTCCGGTGCTGTGAAAGGACTGCAGCGTTGGAGCGGGACAAGCCATGGCGAGCCTAGACTCAAACGAAGCTCTGCTGGCTAAGTCCCTACTGTTGGTCGATCATTAATCAGATGTCAAAGGCCCGTCCTAGTCGTTCAAGCTTTCAGCTCAGTGGCGTTACCTGTTTGACTAACTCGTCAGAGCAGAACACACCACTGCACGGCATGCTCAAAATTAAACAACTGTCACTTACGACTGCGATCGGACAGGGCCAGTTCTCCGAGACGGTCTATCTTGGGCAGAAAGACTGCAAATCCAATTCAAGTGACTCAAATTTGCCTGCAACCGTCACGTGCAAGACAGAATTCCAAAGACAGTCAGTCTCACCTGGCGCTGCATCATGGAGTGTAGCGCTTTGGCATCAGACCTTAGTGTTGGGTGATTTCTCGTTGGCGATGGCTCTTCACACCGAGTTGTAGGCAATGCTTTTTGCACCATCTCGAGACTTTGCTCCTGACCCCAGAGGCGTTCGTATAGTTTAGGTCAGCACTCACACTCGGCCAAATCAAGCTGCGTTTACCTGCTTTGGCAGCATCACACTTATTGGAACGCTTATGTTTTACGTTTCCTTTGCAACGTGTGGCACCCTGTTTTGGGTGTCAAAACCTTCAAAGCAAAGCAGATGCACAGACTTGCCGCTGATCATGTCCAACTGAATGCATGTGCCACTGGGCAAATGGCAAAACTGTTAGCCTAGCCACATTTAGCCAAACTCCCAATCCACAAAATTTGACCCAACCCGACCTCCAGTAGTTCTTGCAGTCTTACAAGTGGCTTCGTGGCCCCGCCAAATAGCAACTCGCACCCAATTCATCCTCTGACAGCGCTCTCTGCTCAGCATCGTGAACCTGCGCATGAACCTGCAATGCACATCTGGAGCCTTCTTCGTTCAGTATCGGACATGATTCGTAGCAAAGCCTCCAGCTCCAACTCGCGTCGGCGCTGACAAAGTTGGAGTAGGTGCCGTTCCCTTTCGGCCGGAAGAGCCTCCAAGACACTTTGATGTGCCCAAACTACATAGACTGTGCCCGTGCCCGGATCAAGGAGTTCTTCTCCAGCTTGATCTCTGCTGCTTTGCTTTCGGCGTCGGCTATGCGAACTGAGCCAGCATGATCCTGCCACAACTTGGTTGCCATTGGCATGCTTTCAGCCTGTACGCGCAGCAATATCTCCTGAGCCAAGCACTCCCGCTCCAAAATGGACACGGTTTCGGATGCCTCGCCAACCTTTACAAGTGCGAGTCTTCCAAAAAAATCGCAAGCACACATCTACGGTCCGGGATGCACACCATAATCCACGGCGCATGATGGTCAAACATGGCACCGTCTACTAGGGACACGTTTGCAAGTCGAGGTGCTACAAGCGAGGTTTGAATCACAAATTGGACCGTCGTTCGAACTTTGATCATCGACATTGGGGCGGGCTCTGCACTGAGATCTTTTCGCTGCCGTGGCTGCTGCGGTCGCTGCCTGTGGGGTTAACCCCGCCGACTATCTCGTCTGGCTGCTGAGCCCGCATGCATGCGTGCACTACAGATGTTGCCCCTTTGGCAACAGTTCAAAATTACAAAATTCCTTCATACATTGCACGTGACATCTCGCAAATGACATCGATAATCGATCCATCGGCTCCAAACAATAAAACTCATCAACCATGGCATGCATGGAACAATAACCGTACTGAAAGATGCTGCTCAAAACAATCATATTTTTACGCTTTCCCACCTTTGTTCAACACTTCCTATGTTGATTTCCAAAATGATTAGCCATCATTTCCTTAATTAAACATTTTTGAAACCTGAGCCATCGTAACTCTAACGGGTCGGGGTTGGGGGTTTACCCGAACCCACAAGGTTCGGGTTGGAGTTGGAGCTCTAGCCCGAACGCCAAAACCCTGGCCTGCAAGGTTTGCAAATGGGACGGCTGCGAAGGTTTGCCAATGGCGGGGGCTACTCAGGTTCAGGTTGTTGGACCGCCTTGGACCCCTTCGGAGTATGCTCCCAGAGAGCGAGTAGGTCTGGCTTGTCTTGTTGGTATGATTAACAATATCTTCTTCTCATTGACGACTCGAAACCGTTTTCGTGTAGCTTTCTTCTTCTTGTGGTGGAGAAGGCTTTGTGTTCATGTCTTCGCTTCTAAAGAAAGCGGGGAGTTTGCCGTTAAAAAAAATGGGGGCTGGGGCAACTCCAACCCTAACCTCACCTTCGTTTTTTTTTTGGCGTGAGCAGGCCTCGTCGACGGCGGTTGCCGCACTCGGTCCTAACGAAATCAACAA